AGTACATCTAACATCTAAGGAAAGAAGAGCTTAGATTGGTACCAGATAAAATAATTTTGTTATCAACATTAATACATTATGCTAATTTTCATCTTTGTAAGCGCATAAGACAGTGCAAATTATTTCTGTGACAGTCTTTTGAAGTGTGTAAAGCTCCATTTAATCCCATACATAGTCAGAATATTGGGGGGGATGATACAATGGACCATCCCCCCCTTGTCAAATATTGGGGGGGATATATCCCCTCCATCCCCCCGGGATCTACGCCTATGGTTAATTGTATAGATTTATATCTATACAAAGCATTTATATTTATTCCAAATTTTTATTTGTTATCTTATTTATTATTTAATTTCTTAATTCTAGGCTTATTAAATAAAAGAAAAAAATAAATGAATAAATAAATAACATTTATAACTAATGATAATACAGTGAAACTATAATAATAATAATAATAATAATAATAACAATGATAATAATAATAGTTATAATAATAACAATAATAATAATAATAATAATAATAATAATAATAATAATAATAATAATAATAATACACAAATATCAATAATGATGATAATGATGACAACAACATTAATGAATACTGTAGGTTACAAAAAACATATATCTGTGATATTATGTCAGGGCACGTACAGAATGAACGACCAAGCCGAATCAAAACAAAGTCACATGGTCTGTGTACATAATTTAAAATAAAATATCTCCTCACATTAAATAATATAACCAGAATAATCCAATAATAATAAGTTTTAATATATATTGGATTAAAGCATGTTGATTCAACTCTATGTATTTTTTGCAAGCAACTTCCTGAAACAATTGACCACATTTTTTTGAATTGTGCAAAAATATATAAAATATAGAAAGATTTGAAAATTTGGATTTATAAACACCTTCAAATACAATTACAATTTCAAAGGAAAACATAATACTTGGCATAAATGGAAAAATAATAACTAATATTATTAATATAAAAAATAATATTATTATTGTATTAGTAAAGAAAATTATCTATAGAAATAGTAAACAGAAAGTGTTACCATATATAACAAATATAAAGAGAAAAATTGTTAAATACTATAAATACTATGATATTACAAGATATATATTTTTTCTCCTGTAATCCACAGAAATTCTTTTCATTTTGGTCTTCACTACATGTTCTTCTTCAAAGCTTCAAATAAATAATAAATGTTTAAATGTTTCAAGTCATGGCCTTTGTACTTTGGCCTCTGGTATATACGCAGTTCACCTATATGAACGTATTGGTACTGCATATACATGTCCACATGTACGCTCACTTAATTATGTTCATAATTACTATAGATATTTACATTCCTATTTTTGAAATCTTAAATTATAATTTACTTGATGTATTCTCCAAAAATAAATTTAATTTCTTTCTAAAGACTAAAATTCAACTGCACCATGTATGATATAAGCTGGGACACATATGATTTACATTGGGGCATGTATGGTTAAACTTTCATATATGATAAATGATATAAATTATGTCATGTGTCATATGACCTAATATGTGCCATACCTGTAGGACGTATTCATCCATATATGATTTAAAGTTCCACAAGTGATACAAAATACAATAAATGTTATAAACTTCATAGTATTAGTTTATTATCTTATTTTAACATAAGTTTGAATATTGAATACAATAAATAACTATAAATATTATAATTTCACTAGCAAAAGAAATTATAAAAATTGTAAACAGGATATATAATTATATGAACATTGATTCTCGAGAGGAAAGTTGTGTTAATTATATGTACTTGGTACAAGCGTTTTTAGAACATTATTGTAAATGAAATTTAAAAATACAATTGCCCTTCATCTCTGATTTATGTATTATCTGTTTACAATGAAACTATAAAACGTATTATTTTATAAGTATACTACATTACTTTATATTTGAAAAGAAGGGCACTTACCTTTCATTGGTAAGCAAGGTAGCTTTATTATCCATAAATGTATTAAGATAAGTAGACACCTGACAAAGGATGTTAAATTTGTTACGCTCTGGCAAACCAAACAAATTTCATATTTTACTTCTAATAAGGATCGGACGCCAAAAGTGTATTGTAGCTCTTTAATATATAACTTCGAATGTCCTGGATGCCTCGACTGTTATGTAGGCAAAACAGACAGATGCTTAAAAGTTCGAGCTGTTGAACATTCTCATAATGTAAACAGTAGTGTACATGAACACATTGAGAGTTGTGAAGGTTTTAACCATATAATTGGTCTACATCTTGACGGCTGACAATACATCCAAACAATCTCTTATTGAGTCCTTATTATTTGAAAATATTAATATTATTCATGGTTCTGTACATTGGTCTGAAATTTTATTTGCTGAAGCCTTAGCAATAAGAAGATACAAGCCTAGTAGTCTAAACTATGGTCTCAGAGCCTCTAAAGAGTTTGCATTATTCACATAGCATAAGTGCTAACTTGCTTTTGTTCTAAAATAATCATTTTGTTTATCATAATCTTAATTTATTTATCAGAATATCATTTGTCTCCATGTTCCGCCTACCTCTTTCTAATTGGTCAAAATTTATCTTGTATTGATTCTTGGTATGTTTGTCAGTATTTTTGGACTTAAACTATTCATTCTTGACAATGTTCCAATAAAGAACGAAACGTAGAATCAACTATGGCCTCACGTCTGTCATTTTTCGGAGTCACCATACTCATATTCTATTTACGTATAATCAGTGGATCCTTTGATTTAAGGGCACTTACAGTGTATACAATTGTTATTTTTAGTTTTTCATTTTGAATGTATTGTGTGATAAAATGAATAAAATTGTGAATTAAAAAAATATTTAAAATATATAAAAAAATTCGTGAAAAAGAAAACATTTGCCAAACTTTTGAATTATCTGAAGTTGTGAAGCGCGTATGTTACCACATTAAGTTTCAGATTATCCTGGTTCTGCACACCGCCAAATTACGTTGATTGCACGATACGTTTTTCCAACGGCCACTACTTTTTAGGATAACACATTCCTTCTCCACTCCGTTCTTTTTGGAGTTGTTTTCCCCTCCCTTCCTCTTGGGATAGATTCCACCTCCGTTCTTCTTAGGGTAGCCTTTTATCCATTCTAAACCGAAAAAAAAAAACAATCATTCAAGAGAACGCATACACAGTAGTGCCAAATTACATCACGTTGTGTAATATTCTGTGGCGCTCAATGACGATGGCTTAATTTCATACTTAACAAAATGGTTAATCTCATGCTTAAACCTTTCTATATTACATTGATATTGATTAAATAAATCGATGTTAGTCGCTACTGTTGGAACTACTATTATTATCTAAAGTACATTATGTTGATTAATGTTCCTACTTGTGTACGTCAATGCTGTACTGTCGGACCACTTCCATGTGTTTTCCGGTCCCGATATTTTCAGACCTATGAACGCTTCACCCTTCAGTAAGGACTTAATGTACGTGTTTTCAGCCGCACTTCTGACTGTCACCAGTTCACCTCCGATGTCTTTGCAGAGTTCTCTGGAACTTTCATAATTCTGCTTTGATTTAAGTGCGTAGTAACAGGAATCATTAAACTTATGTCTGCAGCCTTAAAACGTCAAGACATAATGATAGCTTTAAATAAACACTCCGATGACGATCAAAAATATGACGGTGGTACCGGTGATAGAAGTGATTGGTAATTGAATATACCCTTGCTGCTGCTACTTATGATGATACAATACTATTGGTAATGAGAATGATTAAGACGATGGTACTTGAGATGATGATGATGATGATGGCGATAATGATGGTGAGGATAATGTTGACAGACATTGGTGAATCCAGGCATTTTTTTTTGGCCAGGTGAATAGGTAAGTGGCAGTCGAGGACCTACGGTACGAGGCGGTAAATCAATTAGTTTCTTATAAAATACTTACTCGTAAATTGTGCTTCACATACTGATGCTTGCTGGTATTTACATTTTTCTCCCAACCATTTTCCAGTCTGAGTTTCAATTACAACGCACTGCTGGTGCTCTGGTCGGCTTAAGTAAGCTCCTGGTTGACTTTCAGACCAATCTTTAAAAATAGATTAACTTTAATCAGTCAAATAATTACACAATTTATATTACACAATTTCTTTATTTATTTATTTACAGGACTACTCGTTGAGAGCTATGCTTCGCGATGTATTATTATGTCCTTTATTCGAACACTGTATTTAACATTCTTTGATGATTGATATGTAATTTAATAGTGTTAACGGCTATCTTGATTTATATTCTATGCAACTGTATTGTTTCTAGCCGTACCTATTGTGTAATAGAGTGCATTTGGGGTATTTGATTCTGTTCAACCATGAAGCCTCCGCGGTCTAATGGTTATGACGCTCGCCTTGACAGCGATAGGTCGCAGGTTCGAGTCCCGCCAGAGGCATTTTATTACACAATTTCTTTATTCATTTATTTACAGGACTACATTCTTTGAGAGAGATGCTACTGATGTATTATTATGTCCTTTATTCGAACATTGTATTATTTTCATTTTCATTTTAAAACATCATACTCAAAAATACTATATCGTTGTTTTCTATGAACATAAGAATTAAAAATATGAATACTACCATGGATAAAAGAATTACGCAGACGGTTTGTGTTGTTACGATGAGTGTTGAGCCTAAGACCAGATCTGTTTAGTGAGTACAGCTCAGTACGACTCTGAGTACAGAGTACAACCTAAAGAATATACAAAAGTGTCTTACTAGAAAATGTGGAATTCTTTCCAGTCTGTAGAGATTCAGAACTTTTTTGAAAAACAACATCTCTACTCAGGAAGGCATAACTGCCATTTGATAGTGTTGTGGACATCATCCCTCTAATATAGGCATTTTCTTCGGGGGTTTTAGCAGTTGCTATCTCAAAACCTATCCGACGGCACCTTTCACTAGATTCCACATATGTCTGTTTATCCGAGAACAATTTGTAGCACTTGGATTTAAACTTGTGTTTGCAAACTGAAGTTAAAAGAAAATGTCTGTTAACAATTATTATAGTGTATAATTTTTGGAATAACAATACTGTTACTTTTAATTATTGTCCTTAGTAATATTAGTACTACTGCTAGTATTTTACAAACTAGCCGTTGAAAAACAGGAATTAGATTGTGTACTACAATTACATTGTACTATTTTGCTTTTTAAATCAGTTAATCTAATTAGCCTTTTTCCTAGGTAGGACAGATGATATATATATTTTATCATTTTTATACTTATTATCTAAAAATAATGTTATATTTAGTTGTTCTGTACACTACGCCTAAAGAAGACACTCTTCTCACAGCGGCCATTTGATAAGTACCGATAATTCGCATTGTTTTGATGCACAGTTAACATTCTAAAGAAATTCCTGGAGTTCATTAGGTTTAGTAAAATACACCTGACTGAAAGTCAGACCTTTTCAACTGAACCACATTATTTCAAACATGCAATGTATCCGAAGCTGCTAACCTAAACTTATATATAAGATAAACAATTAATATGAACATTACAGTACCTTCAACGTTAACTAAAAATGAGCACAAATTTTGATATGTGACAGATGATTTTTGTGTTTTGCACGTAACTTGGGTTTGTCCAATCGGAAATACAGACCCTGATATATGTGAGCAAGATATTTTCCCAAGTTTTTCTTTAGTCGCAATTGTAGGATCTTTCCAGAAAACTGGAATGCCTTTTGCCGAAGGCAGACTAAATCCTAGATAAGGCTGTTCAAATGGACAGTTTAGTGCTGAAATAAAGCAAACACCAAGTATAAAAAAGATGGTGACAACATCCTAAGTGTTATGAATGAGCTTTAGTTGCAAGGCTTTGCACATGAAACATGTACAAGGCCGATCTTATTAAATATAATAATTGGGAAATGCAATATTGATCTATCTTTTCAAGTCTTTAGATTTGTTTTAATCAATACCTGAGACAAAAACGTCGATTTCACAGATATTTATGACTCCATATTTATTCTCCTTCTGTAAACTTAAATATCGTCCTTTTGGAGTCGGGTTGCATTCCATATTAACTCTGTAGCTATGTATATCCTTCTCAGTTATAGATTCTCTGCATTGATAATTTGATCTTAACTCTGAAAGAGATCCTCCAACGCGAACCACAGTGTCGTCCAGTCTATATACTTAAAAATATTAGGACAAAAATACATGAGTTTTTTTTTTGTTATACTGTAGTGTACCGTATTTTAGCTTTGTCACTAATTTACTTTGTTTATTGTCTTTTACCAATTTCTATTCGGCAGTCCACATACCCTATATAGTATCACTAAACAAAACCTATGAAAACTTGTTCGTTTAGAAACAAAGTAATCTATGAATTTTTTCACTAGAATCTGTTGATACAATTTATGGAATAAATAACAATGAATTTTATTATAGATTTTGTCTACTACTATTACTTTTGATTAGCATTTCTCCATCAAATATGTTGTTATAAATTAAATGCAATCTTTTCAGTTCACCCTCCAATTTGAGACCACTTTTTCCAGACAATATGGAGTTATGGGATATATGTTTTAATTATTATATATAGTAAATAGCTGGAGATAGCTTTACCAAAGGGTTCTTGTATTAGATGTCATTTTTAATTTTTCAAAAACGTGTTGTCTCAGTTTTATGTTGCAGTATTCTCAGTAACAGAGGGTAAGCTCAGTGCTTAAAAACAGTGGTTAGTTGCTATCTGAAAGCATTGGTCTCAATTTAGGGGTCTCAGTAAGAAGGGTCGCAAATTCGAGTGTGAACTGTACATAAAATGGAGGATGGGGTTAATTCTCAGTATATTTTTGGTTGTTCCCAAAATTTAAAGTTCAATCTGTATTGATGATAATTCAAGATAACTACTTACGTCGTTGAGCATCAATTGTAATTACAAGTTTCACTACTGTCTGTGATTTCCCCAGATCTACAACCCACCATGGTTCCCACTCATATTCTACATGTTTAAAGTAATTATAGTAAAAACTATTAGTAAATAAATCGACAATGAAACAGTGAACACATTCAGCACTTGAAGGGTAGGAAAATAATAATAATTATTAATAATATTATTTATTTATCATTACACAAAAATATACAGTATTTTTGTGAAGTGGAGTGGAGTTTAACAGTAAGTATTTTAATCCCAGGGTCTAGGTTTAATTTTAAAAAAGACTCCACTCCCTAGACCTCAATAAGAGACTTGGCTTATAACACTTCGTTCAATCTTGTAGGTGGCGAGTTGGATGTGAAGGAAATAAAATAGAAATAAAGTATATTCAATATTGAAACAAAATACCTGTTAAACTGCAACTACCATCTAGTTCTCTAATCCAATACTTAGAATCAACGGCCTTATCAGAATCAGCCTGCATACTGCTCTGATTAGTCCATTTGCCTTGGGCGAATGAGCCAGGGCATTGTACGGTGTTACACACTTTGGTACCGTTTGCTAAACCTTTACATAAGCCAGGTAGAGTACAACTTCGAGTTCTGGTTCTAGTTCCACCACCACAGGTTACTGTACATGCGTTCCAATTTGACCACTTGTTCCATTTTGCTAAGTAAATTTGAATGTGAGCGAGACAATAAGATGCCTAGATATACATTAAAACAAAACATACCGTAATGTTTATGCTTTTCTGACGATATTTTTTATTGCTATTGTTCTTATTGTTATTGTTTTATTTTTAATATTGCTGTTGTCATCGTTATCTTTATAGACTGTCACGATCAACATCCAACTTCATCTTATCATCATCATCACTACCGTCGTCGTATTTATTATTATTTTCATTGTATAACTTACGGTGAATATATTCAGGAACCTCCTTTTCACATATAACATTTTGTCCTCTGTCATAACAATGTACACGTTTCCAATCGTCGTAAACAACATACCTGCAACACTTTGTTCTTGAATGTCGGATGTATTCATACCAATCTGTCAAATGATAAAAAACGAAATTAAATGTTGTTCATTTGGCGAAGTGACACACAATAATGGTGTCATATGTGAGGTGATTACCTGAATAAAAAGTTCATATTGAAATAGACACGTTCAGTGTAAGCTTTATTTTTGTTTAATTTAATGAATATATTAATATTGTGTGTGTTTTAAAAGAACCTTCTAGAATTAGCACAGCCATGAAGGTTCTTCCAGAACTTTTGTCCCGTGTCAATCTATCATCTTTTCAGATGAGGCGTTCAAACCATTGGTCTCGAAAAAAGTACGGGATTTTATTCCAGCGTACAAGCCAATTCACCACTAGAAGGACCCAAATGGAAAAAAAAATGTCTTTGGACGCTCGTGGGTTTTACACCAATAAAAACCATAAATTAAATAAAACAATATTGATGAAATGAACCAGAACATTGACTTTCAATATTTTTTTTTCATCATGGCAAATTACATTAATTTTATCTATTACGGACATATTTTAATGTAATTACCTTTTGCCCATTTCCATCCACGTTCTCTTTCATTGATGTTGTATGGAAAATCGACCCAGAAGGAACTCCCGATGAGCTGTTCGCCAAAGCGTTGACGTAGAAATTCATTTTCTTCAGGACTGCTTATCATCAGTAACCTGGTACCTCGGAGTTGACAAAGTCGTTTCGCTTCCCAATGTGACACTTGCTGGTTTAAAAACTCATAACAACTTCTTTGAAAACAGTTGGCATTATCATCTAAAGAAATTTAATAGGAACAGGTCTAGTATTTTTAGCCACAAAAAATGCAATGTAAGACAATTATAATTTGAAAATTAACATTAAATTACTTAAAAATATCGTCTTAATATAATTTATTCCAAAATAAAATGGAATTTATTTTGCATTTAACTTGTAAAAAAAACATATGTAAAAATGTTGTTGTTGATGATACCTTTATTATTATCAATATTTATTTGAAATGTCTTACTTGGAAAGATGAATGGTCATGAATGAGATATTGCTGTTCAACTGACAATAGTCTCCACATTCCACATTAAAATTTATGATACAAATTCGCGTGTATAAATGTTCTTTTGGAAGGAGATTCATCAATTGAACCGTACGCAGATCCAGGATTTCTGAGCTGGGGTGGCGCGAAGATCCGTAGGTCCGAGAGGGGAGGGTTTGGGAGGGGGTGCACGGTATCGAGCACTCTACTCTAGACGATCTTTCCCCTTCCCAAAGGCTGGGGGTCCGAGGGCCGCCAAATGCCCCTGGGGGGTTCCAGGGAAGCTTTGCCTATTTTGCTTATCTTAACAGTTTTAGACGGTTTAATAAAGGAAGCAAATACAATTTGGTTTGTCAGCATTTTCCTATATTTACTTGCATAGACACAGTAATATGATGCACTGGGCATGAACAATACGAGATGGGGTAGGCCTTTTTTCGATAAAGTATCTAAATTTTACCGTATATACTCGCGTATAAGAAGATATAAAATAGTACGGTACGATCGGAAAACAGTGGGTCGTCTTAGCGTGCGACAGATAACTCGTGCAAAAACCATTGTTATCATTCTTATTATAAACTTAGGATAAACTAAGGCCATAATTGTGTTTTACTTTACTTTTTATATTTTCGAAAGTGGGCGTGGCGGCCACCGCTGCCGGGGGGGGGGGTTCGAGCGCCCATTTCACCCGATGCTGGATTCGCCCCTGCAGACATCTTCAATAACTATAAAATTTAAATCGAAACATCATCGTGTAACCAATTATATTTACAAAATAGTTTGTTATAAAATGAAGAATGTGTCTACTTACCATTTCTTTGAATGCCGTAGCTATTAAATGCGTATTTCGCCTTAAAGCCTCTTGAGTTAATCATATAATCCGAAATAAAAAATATCATCATTTCGTTTTTGCTTGTAGTGATAGTTGGCGGAATTTGGTTACCACAAAACCTGAAAATGAACGCAAGAAAAACAATAAACACAGATATAACTATGGGCGGCCTAACTTTATATCAATACACTAAATAGATATACTGTAATTAATAATAGGCATATTAATAGTAAAAATAATAACAATAAAAGCATATGTAATAACTATAGAAAATAACAAATAACAATACCAATAAAGACAACAATAATAAAAGTTCAACAGGAAAATTTAACATCATTGGATGATTAGCAAAATTAGCATATGAAACAAAATGAATATATGTGGACATACCGAGAACTCTCGTCTTGGTACATGTTCTTTGTTCTTATTCCAAGGTAATCTCGGTAGCAAAACGGTGAATCTTCCAAATCAAATTCGAGGAATGTGAGAGTAATTGTACGACCCTCTGGGGCCTGTTGCAATAAAAATACCAAAAAAACAAAAAACAAACAAAAAAAAAACATTATATTTTTAGAATTCTATTAGAATTAGATAATGTGTATGAAAAAATACATTTCATATAACGTCATAAGCTAGATATGTAAAATGATTTTACAAGATAAAAAATAACACATAAAAATATAATGCCAGAAAAGAATGGTGGTATATAATAACTATGAAATTCGTAAGAGCAACCTCTCGATCAACACATTTACGAGGACCACAAAATCATTTATATGAAAATATTGTCCATTGTAGTCCTAGAAATAACGAAAGAGAACTACGAAATACTATAAGGACAGAGCTCTGGAAATTTTCTTCAGAGAACACACTGACTGGGAATGGGTGATATTCATGGGGAATTAATTCAATATTTATTTTTGCACCAGCAACCAGTGGAGATTAACACATTCACATTAAATTGAGGTGAACTACTTGTGAATTTCTACGCGGGTGCATGCCAATAACATACCATTTCAATTATATTTGTGAGTCGCTGTGATTCTAAATGTAGGCATACAATATATTTGAACTGTGGAATGAATTACTATAAATTACTTATTGCTCTAACATAGACTGCAAGGACGTCAATGATTACTTTATCAACCATTCGAGAGCAAAATATCAAAGTCGTTTAAACATAATGCGTCTAAAGGGAATAACCCACCTCGTTGATATCATTTCCTATGTTGATGTAAATACCGTTACAGTTGGACTAAAAATCTTGTTTTAGACCTTGATAGCCTGCTTGTTAGCAGACCCGCACATTGCTTATTCGTTATGTTATTAGCCTATTTTATATTTTGAAAATTTGCGCAAAAAAATAGGCCTATAACAAAGGAAAGGAAGCCAACACTCCGTGATCAATTACAGACCAATCTCCACTGATATTGCGGGGGTAGAGCAGGGAAAGGTATAAGTTCTAATCCCGCAGTATTTTTTTTTTCGTTTAAGGGCTGGCCTGATATGTTTAAAATATCATTTGTTCATATTATTTGCCCACTCCTTCTATCGTTTACCTATTTCTGATTGTGAATCGTCTGACTGAAATGAAATGAAAATATACGGAAGAACTCATTATTTCCATCGACATCCAGATAGGCGTACCTTAATGTACCAGATGCAATCCTCCCAATTCCCATAGCTGCCGGGAAAATTTGGTGATTGAATAATTCCACTTTGGTTTGTCAGCTGCTGTCGACATCCTGTTAATCGAGAAAACAATAATAACAACATTTTTGTTTTATCTGATCTAAAGCTATAGTAAAGGCTTGTGGCGGTTTAAATATTTACTATTTCTTACGTTAGGTCTATAGCTGTTTTGACTCAAAGATTATAAGTTTACATATAGTACAGCGATTTATCACAAGGAAAGATTGAAATATCTACAGTAGATAGATGTAATCCCTTACCCAACAGTTTCTGAGCTGCTCCCAACTCACATTGTTTCCCATAAAATCCTGGGGGGCACAAGCAATTGCAAGCAGGGCCAATGTACCCCTTGTTCTGACAAGGCCGACGGTAACCACAATATGCTGTAATTCAGGTTAGAAATAATGTAAATACAAAATATAAAATAGGCCTACCATTGGTGTCATCGCATTACTTATTCATATTTAATAATAATAATGACAATGATGACGATGATGATGATGATGATGATGATGATGAAAATTATATAATCACCATCACCACAGTTTTTATTTACTAATTATCATTGTTATAATTTTAAGAAAAAAACTCTTTCATTTCAGTCATTCCTATACACACCTCCAGAACTTAGAATGACTTGTGCACCAATTTTTACACAGCAATAGTAATTTTGTACTTAACCATTGCAGTTGTATATCTGGTTCGCAAGTTGTATGTCGTAGAAACTTGGGATAGATAGATAGATAGATAGATAGATAGATAGATAGATAGATAGATAGATAGATAGATAGATAGATAGATAGATAGATAGATAGATAGATAGATAGATAGATAGATAGATAGATAGATAGATGGATAGATAGATGGATGGATAAGTAAATCTTACTTACATCCCTTGAATAATGCATAATCGAATAAATATCGTACGGCACCGTCATAATCGTGTCTTTCCGCTGAAATGCGTCGGCATTTTCTTTCTCGACATTCAACCAGTTGACTCTAACGTAATCATCGCGATCTCCTCGCTCATGTTCATGCTCAAAACCGATCGTATGTCCGATCTCGTGAAGAACAATATTCAGCTAAACACGTTTAAACAACAATTACGTCACTAATATTGTTAAAAAACCATAAAATCTGATTATTGTACCATTTACTACACAACATTAAGGTATACAGTATGGCGCATTGAATGAAATGGAATAGATTTAAATTAGAGTATTGTTGTAAAATACTACTGTTGTAAAATCATAATTAATGTTTTAATTATTGTCATATACTGGTACAAAGCAAAAGTCGGGACAATTCAGCCTCCTGTAAAATGCATTTTTGTCAGGGTGCGCGTCTAGTAAAGCTGCTAGGCGCTGCATCAGAACCAATCATGATAGAAAGGTCAGTAGGCCTATGCTTAGAATTTACAGATTATAAATTCTTTATTCAATATTTCCCAATATGATTATTTGTCTAACTGTTTTAAGTGCCATGCGTAAGTCAAGTATATGTGCTTCAATTAATTTAGACAACTTTCTTCAATATTTTTAAACAATTTTTTGACTGAGACCTCGTCTTTCGGTACACATCCATTGGAGAGCAAATAGAAAACGTGTATGGCGCGCAAAGGTATGGCACGCACTGAATGCACAAAGCAACCTCCTGGAGGCTACTACCAATCGCGCTTAACTAGGTTTATCGACTGGATACATTAAGCATTATTGAAATATATAGACTCGTTGATAGGTAGGCCTAAATACTTACACTATTACATCCGGGTCCTATAGAAATATACTGTTCTGGATATCCGTGTCTTCCTACATCAGCCCAGCAGCTGTAAATAAGTAGTTTCATATGTTACTTCTGGTTGTAAATATTAAATATATAAAATGTTATTGTCAGCCATGAGGCAGTCTCAACCGTCACAATTCGTATTGTCACCAAGGCAGACTATATAATACAATAAGATTAAAGAGATTTCAACATATGTTCGAAAGACATTAATTATATACATTCGAAAAATATATGATCGATCTTGTCTCCAGTCACGTGTCTCAAGGGGTTTTAGTAGACTAGCAGTAGACCAGGGACCACAGTGGAAATAAGTTGCTTTTTGTAATTTTCTGTGTTTTACTATGGGTTACTTTCTGAATGAATACAAAAAAAAAAAACCAAAAAAAAAAACAATGAACATTATGATTCAATGTTGTATAATAATTCAGATAGGTAAGCGAATAATAATAATAATAGAAATGTAACAAACAAGCAATGAAGGATTGCTCGGTATGTTTATATTTTCACAAACGTATAAGAATTATTGCGGTTAAGTTTACTAATTTTCATTAACGTTTGTGCATGCCACTCTATAAATATCACCTAAGTTAGTGAAACTACAATAAATAGTGTTATCGGAGATTGTTTGTATATGACAGTATAGCTTTTACTGCAACTCTGTCGTTTTAGACTCACCGATTCATACGGATTTTTTTTCTATTTCAATTTCAATAATGAATAAAATTAATTAAAAACCCGCTAGGATAAACTTACTTTTCTCCCTTAAAATACACAACTCTGTTTCCAGTTGTACTAAATAGCTGAGACTCACTCAATATTGGAATGAATTCCAAGCACGTATCTTGTTCCCAAATATACATCGCTCTCATAATCACATCTATATCTGGCTCTAAGCAACAAAATTTAACAAGTTATTTTTTTTTATCATTATTTTAATTATAAATACAGGTATTACTATTATTATTACTATGACAGTATTATTTCTGTATAATCTTTACATATTATATAATAATAGTAATGTATATTAAAATTATTTTAATTTCTTCATAAAATGCACACACAAAACAGAATGAAGAATGGCCAGCAAACACCCAAGCTATTCACCTGACGAGTTTCGAATAAGAAAATGTATTCTTGCACCAGGCCACCTGAAGCTGTGATGGGGAGTAGCTTTCCTCTTCGTTCTTCCCGACTCATCCTACAGAATAGACAACGTCACATTTACAATCAAGACAATTCTACGCTGATATAGTTCGACTAAAAACTACAATGTTACGGATGAGGTAACAACAACACATCAACAACAACAACACCACAAAACAACAACAATAATACTATTAATATTACGTATACTTCTACAAATCAATACTTCCAAATTCTTTCCTCTTTTCCATACTAATATTCGTCCAATGAACATGCATTTACTAGAATTTACTACATATTTATGATTTACTAGGTGATCTTAAAATGATTGCACTCTCCGAAATCTGATGTATTAAAAACAAGGAATTTTAATCGAAGGATTCATACTAATTTGATAGGTGTCGAGAACTTGGCAGGATTGGTGGTGGTGTTGACGCTTATATTCATTCATCTCTGAATTATAATGACTTAGATTACCATGTTAATCATTGTTAAACAATCCTTTCGTTTTTGAATTTTTTATTTAAAATCTGTTTTATTATTATTATCATCATCAATATTATTATTTATTGTTACTATTGTTATTAAAGAAATATGTATTTAGTTTAAGCAAGGAGGTATTAGTTTAAGAGAGATGGGGCTCTGAGGTGCCAAGCTTGAATGCTCTAGCTATACCTTGGTAACCTTTCTATTCATTTGTCTGATACAATAAAGAAATTATGACACTTATACCTAAATCTTATATATTTATTTTACACTCTATAATTTTATTTTAATGCTAAATATTTAAACCAACCAAGATTCATTATCAAATATTCAGTTGACTCATGTTCAAGTAATAGTAACAGAATGGAAGATACTTACCAACGGTCTAGTTTTCAGTTCGTTCACCAGCATAAGTAGGCTGACAAAAATGACTAACAGTAGAATTATATTTAACGAGTTCATTGTTATATGCTTGTAGATTGGAATGTACTCTCAAAATGATTGTATTATCAGTCTTGTGGTTGTAAATTCCGTCATAATCTAGGCAGTTATGAATATAATAGTCATTGATAACTTTGCAGCCATATCGCTGGCTCATCCAGGAAGGAAGAATAGAACGACAAACGGCTATAGCCCAGATGGGAGATCATTTAATAGCAAAATTAATAGAGACGATAAATCCATTGAGGATGCTACAATGGTTTATCATCATCATCATCATCATCATCATCATCATCATCATCATCATCATCATCATCATTATTATCATTATCATTATTATTATTATTATTATTATTATTATTATTATTATTAACTATTATATTATTAAAACCTACCTTTAGGAAAATTTAGACAATAGAGAAATTGGAAAACAATTAAAAAAAACGACGTTAAGGGCAAAATAAAACAAAAGATATCCCCCTTAAGTCCGACTTAGCGTTTATTATTATTATTATTATTATTATTATTATTATTATTATTATTATTATTATTATTATTATTATTATTATTATTATTCTTATTCTTATTCTTCATTATAAGTATTTTAATAATAATAATAATAATAATAATAATAATAATAATAATAATAATAATAATAATTATTATTATTTGAATATAATAATTATAATGCATCCATGATAAAAAAATAATATACACTCAGAAGAATGTAGGCCTATACAGTGAATATTAGGCATATAGTATACATTGTGTATCGTTTCCGTACATATTAGTTATGTACATATCCCTCTACATACGGAAGTAGACAGATCTCTGGTTGTCTAGTACATGTGAGGATTAGCTTTATCCCAATTATGACGTCAGACAAGTTAAAAGAATAAGAAAGTTTCAATCACTTTTGACTGTACTTGAATTGACCACCAAAGACTTCGTGGGCGCGGCCATATTTATGACGTTGCTATGTATAGCTTGGTTTCCATACAATCGCTAAACATCGCTAAGTAATGTTTACTTTTCTATCATTTTTGCTTCGCTTTTTTTATTCGTTTTTTTTTTTTTTTTTTTTTTTTTTTTTTTTTTTTTTTTTTTTTTTTTTTTTTTTTTTGTATTTTGTGTGTTGCTTGTTATTTGGGTGCACCACCAGATGGCGTGTGCCACGGATACAAAAGTGTTCCAATAAAGTTCAGATTAGTTCAGTAAACTGTCGCTAGTTTTTTACTGCAATCGTCGTGCACTATGTAGCTGTCCTCGACGCAATCGGGAACGATCTGTGTTTCAACTGACCAATCACCGTCTTCAAAGGAGTCTGCGATAGCGTGCAGCGATTTTTATGAAAACAAGGCTTTACTTAAAAACAAACGTAAAACATATGTTTAACGTTTAGTTTCTGTTCAGGACCCCCCCCCCCCCTCCCTCCCACAGTTAATATTATGCGAAAATAGTAGTACACTAAAATTACATTATCAGACTTGTCCTCACTTTTACGGTACTTTACTTTAAAGTACTTTTACAATTATCACATAAAAAGGGTAGTAGCCTATACAGTTGACAATAAAATATAGATGGAATTCCAACTAAATATAACATAAGTTAAGGGCAATAATTGTCAATAAATGTTGACACAAAAACATCAAGTGACTACGAAGACAACAAACAATGGGTAAATGCAGTAAAACAAAATATAATAGAAATTCTAAAGCTTGAATAAACATTGAAATTAACTTTTCGTTATTTTATTATACATATAAATATATATAAATATATATATATATATATATATATACATATATATATATATATATATAAGCAGCACATATGT